GCACTCAGCGGAGGAGCTGATTCGAATCTTCTAGCTCATAAAAATAGCTTCAAAATCCATCAGAAATGGCAATTTCAGGACCATCAAAAGTTTTCCTTGCCCGGACCTTTCCTCATTGCAAACATGAGGCGGAAATGATTTCTACATATGTTCTTTCAGATGTCCTGAAATGCGCCACAAAGTCTCCTGAAACATGAACTCTTTGCTGTACTGAAATGTAGCCATATTGAGTCATTTCAGGTTCATTTCAGGCTACACAAAATTTATCATTTTCCTGCACCGCAAATGGCTACGAAAGTGGTAGCAAATCTATCATTTTGAGACACCAGAAAGCCCCGGTTAAGTCTTCGAAAATGAAACAGTTTTGATGGCTTGACCAGGACATTTCAGGTGATCTGAAACCAGCTCATGCCCGTAGTGTAACTTGTTACCAGCCACAGGAGTCGCTACTGTAAGTCGCTGCCGAGACCATCTCCCTCGAGTAGCGCGAGGACAGCTTTCACGACGGGATTGTCGCTGCTGACGCTCATGATGTCGCCACTTTCGACACTCTGCTTCAGCTGCGCGTCCAGGAGCCGCCTGCGGGATACCGCATCAGGGATAGTCCGGAAGGCAATGGTTATCGCGGCTTACCTCAGCTGGTTCACGAGCACTCCGATGCGGGGCCAAGCCCTCAACTTGACGAAGGCGTCCTTATTGCCGATGGTCAGCCCTCCGGCGACATGCTTCACCGCGACGGGGCCACCGAACAAGAGTATCGCGTATATGGGTACCTGGCCGTGCAATGCGATAAGCGAAATGCTCTCCTATCGAGCCAAGAACCTACTTCAGTGGCATCGCGCAGCCACAGCTTCGTGGTCTGCTGCTTCTGGAAGAACGCCACGAATGGGCTCTTCCATTCTGCAGAGCGGAAGAGCACGGACGATGGATGCAGGAACACCCGTCCGCCCTGGTCGCCCACACGTATGTCGAAGAACTTGTACTCGCGCGCCTCGTTCGCGCGCTGGACAGTGCCCGCCTGCACGCGGTCGAACTTGATTGCGTCTTTGGGCAGGACGACGCGTGCGACGCGGGGCCAGAGGCCTGCGAGAATGACCGCTTTGACGAGCCCGGTGCGGGAGCTATGCGTGTTAAGTGAAGGCGAGGAGGGAGTGCTGCCCCGCGGAATGAGGTTGAGAGAGATGAGAGTGGAGAGGAATTCCTGTCGCAGAGAAGTGATGTCGCGGATCGTTGAAGTGGAGATAAAATTCTGTAGAACGTGTGAAGAATAAATTCGCTGATTCGAGCGGTCCTCACCTCTTCACAAAAGGCTCTCACGCGAGATGTGCCTTTCTCTCGTAGACGTGCACATTCGTCATAGGCGTTCAAGTCTGTCAATATATCGCTATTCCCGGTAGCGAATTTTGCACGAGCCCTGGAACGAAGACTGAGCTTCCATCTTGAAATGCACAACATCTCACATACTGCGAAGCTTCCTCCCGCTTGTCCATAGGGCTCACGAACAAGGACTTGGACGACATGATGGCGGCTGCCGTCAAGATTGGACCCAAACACTGAAAAATAGCTCCAAGAACGAGCATCTACATTGCACGTCAATTCTTGCATTGTATTGTCATGTAGAGTAGGACTGACCTTGCCCAGCCTGAGATCTACTGGAAGCATCGCCTGGAGGTAGATTCTCAGTATGAGTCGCAAGCCTGCTCGCCGGGACCACTCACTAGGTATTGTCCCATTGGTGTTAAATTGCCTTCAGGTGAAATAGCCCCAAGTTCGTCCAGCACAGCCAGCGCATGATCTAAGGCGGACATGGCCGGGGGATCTATCGCTTGGGAGACGAAATCCTGGAAAAACATGGATATAGCTCGCAAAACCCCCTCTATAAATTGGCATATCTACCTTGACGTCGCCATGCGTAACTTTCACCGATAATGCTACACTCTCCAATGCTACTCTTTTAATTTCGGGGATGGGGAAGGGCTGCATGTTGCTTTCCTGCTTTCTGGTGTACAGCTTATAGCAGATGCCAGGCTTTGTACGGCCAGCTCGTCCACGGCGTTGTCGCGCAGCAGCGCGAGTGACCCATTGCTCCTCAAGCTTTGTGAGCCCATTTTCTGGGTCGTATTGAGCTTCCTTAACCTTTCCTGAGTCAATAACATAGATAACGTCGTCGATCGTAATTGAAGTCTGTGATCCAGTTAGCAAGAGAAGGACAGCAGCCAGCTCAACACTTACCTCGGCCACATTGGTCGCGGCTATAATCTTCCAACCTGGCGTCGGAGCGAAGACAGCACGCTGCTCGTCGCTCGACAAGTTCGCATGCAACGGGAGCGCCTTGGCATTTGGAACACTTTTCAAGGCGTTCAGACACGCTTGTATTTCTTGCACACCTGGCAGAAAAATCAGAATTCCTCCAGGATTTGTGTTAGACTCCGTGATGTGCTTGACGAGAGCAGCAATGAGCTAGAGATAAGATGAGCAACGATTCCCGGCAACCCGTGCTTCCATGGTGACCGACCTCGACGTCTACTCTGTCAGCCTTAGAAATGACGTGCAGAGCCAGCAATAAAGACTCGTCAGTGTTATCGGCCTGACTGACGAGCGCTTCCCTCTCTTTTTCAGAAGGACGCTTCACCCCTTTGCCTGAGGGCCGATAAGGTAGTGATGGCAGATAGTCCTCGAGGTATCTGGTCACTTTTAAGCGCGTCATCATGATACAACAAGGGGCACGCTGACCGGTCCTTGACGGGATGAGTAAAACCGGAGATAGTAAGCAGCGGCGCATCGTTGAAGTACTTGATGAAGACTTCATGATTGATGGTCGCAGACATGAGGATGACCTTGAGCTTCTTATTATTCTGCAACAACATCTTGAGTTCGAGCAACAGCAAGTCGCCGTCGACAGAACGCTCGTGGACCTGGCATCCAAACTGTAAGCCAGTGCATCGAGTATTGCTCGAGCAGCCAACTTACCTCGTCAACAATGATGTGGGTAACGTTCTGCAGCTTGTCGCCCGAACCAAGTCGGCGTAGGGCAACCCCCGTAGTGCAGAATAAGAGCTTTGTCCTGCTGCTCTGCTTGCTTTCGCCGCGAATGGCGTAGCCGACCGAGCCGTCCTCGAGTCGTTCGGCAGAGACTCTAGCAGCGACGCCTAATGCGGAGAGCCTGCGGGGCTGCGTAACTATGATGGACACCTCGGAGCCATGGCCAGCTAAAATGAGCGAATCCAGAACGAACTGGGGCACTGAGAGAGATGAGAAAGATGCTCGCTTAATATCTGGCATTAAAATTTCTTACGCTGCGTGGTTTTGCCGCAGCCTGCAGGATCGATTCTCAGTATATGAACGCCGTACTGAGAAAGATTCCTCACCAGTTTCTCCGACTACAACCATACAGCGGTTCTTACCCAGCACGTTTAGGAAATTCTCTTGTGCTGCGAACGCAGGCAGGCGCTTTCGCGCTACCAGAATATCGGTATAGGCTTTCTTTTGACGCAGCTTCTCAAATTCCAATCTTACAGTCGCGTCGTTACGATCGTCTCCTCTGGTACCGCCTTTTTGCTGCCGGCCTCTTCGCTTGTCCTGAGGCGCGGCAGAAACCTCAGAAATATCTGCATCTTCAGCCTCGGTCTTGCGGTGCATGAAATAGCGTAGGACTTGGGACATTTCGGGAGGGCCGTTGTCTTCTATGTCGGCCCACTGTTCTTCTATGAACCGTACTGCAGCCATGATGACGCTTTCTCCGGGATCGATGAGGGTGCCATTCAAGAAGGCAGACAAAACTTGGGAGAGGATGTGCAGCCTCACGTAAGCGGGAATGGCCTTAGAAGTAAGATAGATCGATGGTGGTTCGCCACGCAAAGGAAGCGCGCGGTCTTCGGTGAGAAAGACGACATGCAATTCGAGCGGCGCGATGGGGAGCGGGACGACCAGATGTGTCTTGTCCACAAATTCCGCTTCGTACGCACTCAGCTCGTCTTCGTCAACGACCTCGGTTTCGGCAGTCTCTATATCAGCGTTGACGTCATCTTCAGTTCTCCCAAGTAGAGCGCGATTGAGAGCTCGCTGAAAAAACCCCCAATTCTCGACCAAGCGATGGTCCTTCACGAGCTCTTTGACAATATGCGCGGGCCAGCCGCACTCTTTGACTGCTTTATCGACTGCCCAGCGAGTCTTGAGATCTTCGGTGCCAGAGTGCACGGATGAAATAAATGGGTTTGACGAATTTGAGCTGCGCAAAAAGCGTTGAGGGAGGTCGCATTCCGGTAGGTGCAGAATCATAAATTCTAAGCATGCCTGGAGGGGTTCAAAAGATGATAGTAGCGTCGTTGTTAGAGCGGATGGCGTTGACAAAGCCTTGAGAGAGGTATCAGCTTGCTTCTCAGAGAACCCGAATGTCTGCAGCTGTTTCAACAGGGCAGACTTCTGTTCATCTTCTAAAACCCTCGGAGAAGAATCAGCTGCCTCAGGATAGAGTTCGAACGCCTGTACAGTCACGGTTTGGATATGAGAGGGGTGTGTCCGAGCGTAAGCAGACATACCTTCTTAATTGATTCTTCGACGAGATCTCTAAGGCCGCTGGCCATTTTGGCCTCGGGCGCGGACGAATACTCATTTGACGTGCTTGGCTTGTTATTGTTGTTAGTGGCCTCCTCTTTCTTCCTCGCCGCCTGTTCCTGACGTTCGGTCACCACTTTGCGGGCGGCGAAGGGGTCAGCTTCGTACATCCATTTCTGGTGCTCTGGAGCCTGCTTGTGTTCTGCTGCAAGCTGGTTCCAGTAATCGCGAGGGCCAGGCGGGAGCACTCGATTGAGCTGAATACCATTACAGAACTACGATGTTGCCAATCAACATGATGCTGATAGAGAGCAAATGTATTTATGCTACTGACTCGATACAAAGCGTAAGTCGCACCCCAATGACGTGCCTCGATAGCGGTAGGGAGAACATACGGCGGATGCGGCTCCAGACGAATGGACTCATACTCGCTCTTTTTATTGACGCGGCTTAGGGTAACCGCAAACGAAAAGCCGTCAGTCTTCTTGTACTGTATTGTGTGATTAAAATTGTGTACAGGGTTAGTGATACACAATACCCACAGTGTCTACCACGGGCTTGTTCCAGCCTTCCTTCTGACATCTGCAATTTCTCGTGAGTGATGCTCCATGTCCGGGATTCTCTGGGGCAGATACCCTACGAGACAATTGCTCGAATGACACCTGTCCCACACCTTGTCTTAGGGCCATAGAAGGAAGAATCCGAGGTGCAGAACGCGATATGCACTACCTCTCGTTAAGCAGACTCAGTGGGTATTTGGAGCCAGGGGGGAAAAGCGGTTTCTCCTCAGGCTTGCTGGGATCTGGTGGTGGCTTGGAGCTGGGTGCTTTTGAGGAATTTCCTGCATTCCCCGATTTCACGATGCCTCGTTTCGGAGGCATAAACCTTTGGACAAGAAAGCGTTCGCAAGAAAAAGAAGAAGGCGAGGCGAGATGTCGCGGCATCGCACTTACGGCATACGTTACGTCACACTTTCGTGACAGTGACATAGGGCGTCTAGATGCCTCACTGGCATTCGCTCTCGTTCTGCCTACACACCGTTCTGTCCACCTCTCATCTGCCACCCTTTTCCTACCATGTCCGAAGAGGACATATACAATCTTGAGTTTCTTTCCCTCGTTGCCAAAATTACTCAAGAACTCCTCAACCACACCGGGCTTAATGACAAAACTCTAGCCGAGTTCGTTATTGCTCTCCATGATGAGTCCAAGACCATCGCCGAATTTAAGCAGAAGCTGAAGGATGTCGGGGCAAACTTTCCCGAATCTTTCATTGAGAATATGGACCGGTTAATTCTCAACATGCATCCGAAACACAAGAAGAAATCTGCAACGACTGCAGCGGCGAATGGATCCGGCGGGGAGACGACACTGGACGAGACGGAGAAGAAGAAGCGGATGTTTCCTGGTCTGGCATTGAAAGACCAGGAATGGCAGCCGAGCGTAGACAAGGATGTGCTGATGAAGGAGGTGGATGATATGATGTCGCAGTTCGAGGGTGTGGCGAAGAAAGCTCGACCTCGCCCAGCTGAGAACGGCACGGATCGTTCACCCAAGCGCCAACGGCGGTCGCGTTCACGGTCTCCACGTCGACGTAGCCCGAGCCCGCCCCGAGGTCGTGGCTTTGACCGGAGGGACGATGACAGAGGGCGCGGACGAGGTAGAGGACCTCTCGATGACCGACCAGTCTTGTTCAAGGTCTACAACGGTCGCGTCTCTGGCTTGAAGGACTTTGGCGCTTTCGTACAGGTGGAAGGTGTAGCCGGACGAGTAGAAGGTACGTCTTCAGCTCGGCACTACTATCATAGCTTTGCTGATCTCGGTTCAAGGCATGGTGCATGTGTCCAATATACAGCAAGGCGCACGAGCCAACTCCGCGCCCGATCTTCTAAGTCGTGGGCAACAGGTCAAGGTCAAGGTCATGAGTTTGGCAGGCAACCGCATAGGTTTGTCTATGAAAGACGTTGATCAAGCCACTGGCCGGGATCTTACACCGCATCTTCGTATCAAGTCCGAGGCAGAGATAGCTGAAGAAGAAGCACGCATGTCTGCCCGTGGCGCCAACGCTGTTCCTCTCAACTCGAAAGGCTTCAGAGACGAACCTGTTCGATCAGCGAAGCGCCTCACCTCACCCGAGCGTTGGGAGATTAAGCAGCTCATCTCGTCAGGGATCGTGGACGCTTCAGAATATCCCGACCTAGACGAAGAGTTCAACAATCCAGTTGCTCGCGCCGAAGTCGAGGAGGAGCTGGATGTGGAGGTCAAAGAAGAAGAACCTCCGTTCTTGGCAGGGCAGACGAAGCGCACACTAGAGCTCAGTCCGGTCAAGATTGTCAAGGCTCCAGATGGTTCCCTTAACAGAGCAGCTCTCGCTGGTGCATCCTTGGCAAAGGAGCGGCGGGAGCTGCGGCAGCAGGAGGCGAACGAGGAGGCAGACTCGGAGGCGCGAGACTTCAGCGCACCATGGCTCGACCCGATGTCGAAAGATTCGGACAAGGTCTTCGCACAAGACATGCGTGGTAATCTTCGAGGTCAGAAGGCGAACGAGCAGCCGAAGTGGAAGGAGGTCACGTTTAACAAGACGACAACGTACGGCGAGATCTCGAAGATGAGTATCCAAGAGCAGCGAAAGAATCTCCCCATCTACAAGCTGCGCGATCCACTGCTTCAAGCTATTCGTGATGTAAGTCTCACCCACCGGTCATTGTGTATTCTTGCTGACTTATTCTCAGCACCAAGTTCTCATTGTCGTTGGTGACACCGGTTCCGGCAAGACCACACAGATGGTGCAGTACCTCGCCGAAGATGGTTACGCTGACAGAGGCAGGATCGGTTGCACACAGCCGCGTCGCGTCGCCGCCATGTCCGTTGCAAAGCGTGTCTCTGAGGAGGTCGGTTGTCGTCTTGGTCAGGAAGTGGGCTATACCATCCGTTTCGAGGACTGCACTAGCCCGGAAACTCGGATCAAGTACATGACGGACGGTATGCTCCAGCGTGAGTCCTTGATTGATCCCGACTGCACCCAGTATTCCGTCGTCATGTTGGATGAGGCGCACGAACGTACGATTGCCACTGACGTTCTGTTCGGTCTCCTCAAGAGTAAGTATTCAGTCCTGGAAGTCTGGCTTTGATGCTGATATGTTGTGTACAGAGGCTATCAAGCGCCGCTCAGACCTCAAACTCATTGTCACCTCCGCTACTCTCGACGCCGAGAAGTTTTCAAAGTACTTCTTTGGCTGTCCTATTTTCACCATCCCTGGTCGAACCTATCCTGTCGAGATTCTCTACACCAAAGAACCGGAGACCGACTATCTCGACGCTTCTCTCATCACTGTCATGCAAATCCACTTGTCTGAACCACCCGGTGATGTTCTGCTTTTCCTTACGGGTCAAGAGGAGATCGACACTGCATGCGAGATCTTATATGAACGCATGAAAGCTCTAGGTCCAAAAGTACCGGAGTTGATGGTCCTTCCGATTTACTCTGCGCTGCCTTCCGAGGTTCAATCTCGGGTCTTTGAGCCAACACCTCCTGGTGCACGTAAGGTCGTCGTTGCCACCAACGTCGCCGAGACCAGTTTGACCATACCAGGTATCTACTACGTCATCGATCCCGGATTCTCGAAACAGAACGCCTACGACCCCAGACTTGGTATGGACTCGCTCGTAGTCATGCCCATCTCTCAAGCACAGGCGAGGCAGCGTGCTGGCCGTGCTGGCCGTACCGGTCCCGGCAAGTGCTACCGGCTCTACACCGAGGCCGCGTTCCGTAATGAGATGCTGCCGAACTCGATCCCCGATATCCAGCGTACGAACCTGGCGAGTACGATCTTGACGCTCAAGGCAATGGGCGTCAACGACCTCCTCAGCTTCGACTTCATGGATCCACCACCAGCGCAGACGATGTTGACTGCCCTCGAGTCGTTATATGCGCTCTCCGCGCTAGACGACGAAGGCCTGCTGACGCGTCTTGGTCGTAAGATGGCAGACTTCCCCATGGACCCGCCCCTCGCAAAGATGCTGATTGCGTCAGTCGACTACGGGTGTTCTGAAGAGATCCTGTCGGTCGTCGCGATGTTATCCGTGCAGAGTGTCTTTTACCGACCGAAAGAGAAGCAGGCGCAGGCGGATTCAAAGAAGGCGAAATTCCACCAGCCCGAGGGCGATCATCTGACGCTGCTGACTGTATACAACGGGTGGAAGGCGAGTAATTTCTCGAACCCGTGGTGCTATGAGAACTTCATCCAAGCGCGGAGCATGAGACGTGCGCAGGATGTCCGGAAGCAGCTGTTGGGTATTATGGACCGGTAAGTCATGCATGCTCTTTCCACCGTCTTCCAGCGAAGCTTAGGCTTTCCTTAGTTACAAGCACGATATCCTCTCTGCCGGCAAGGACTACAACCGCGTCCGTCGTGCAATCGCTTCTGGCTTCTTCCGGCATGCCGCGAAGAAGGATCCACAGGAGGGTTACAAGACGCTTGTAGAAGGCACACCAGTATATATCCACCCATCGTCCGCACTCTTCAATCGCAATCCCGAGTGGATCATCTACCACGAATTGATCTTGACGACGCGCGAGTACTGCCACAACGTGACCGCCATCGAGCCCAAGTGGCTCGTCGAGGTCGCGCCGCAGTTCTTCAAGGTTGCGGATGCGAACAAGATCAGTAAACGGAAGAAGCAGGAGAAGATCGAACCTCTGTACAACAAGGTATGTGCTGTAGCTTTACGAAGCGTGCGCAGTTGCTGATTACTTAATCTTGCAGTATGAGAAGGCCGACGAATGGCGGTTGTCGAAGGTCAAGAGGAGCGCTCGTTCGAGTCAAACGTTCGGTTAAAATGGCTATGCGTCTCTATACTATATTCCCCGGATATTGTAGTGTTATCTGTAGCATAATATTCCCTGCTATCTCAGCTTTCTTCCTCACATACATCTGCAAGGGACGGTCGTGAAGACAATCGAACCCAAGGGGGGAGGGGTTGTATGACGAGCCGTATTATCACCTTCTTAGACACTTTCTGGACTAGCTCGTCCCTATCCTCGCCAAAATCTTGTCTTCATCTGCAATGTGTAGCTGAGGGGAGTAGCCCGCTTAGTGGCACGAAGTTCAGCGACCCGTGAGTTCTGCCGCTCGTGATATCGGGAGGCGTTCCTTAATTCTCGGCATTTCGCTGAAGGGCTCGACGTTTGTGGGTATGCTAATGTGAAGGTATATACGTTGTCAATATCCAAATGACAACGATTTTCTGTTCGATGAATGTGTGAGGTCCCGAGCCCCCTTCGAAGCAATAAAGGGGCATACCTGATATGCTGCAGTAATAGACTCTCTATCCCTCACTTCTCCCTTCTCAACCCACAAATCTCAAAATATCCGAGTTGATGTAGTATTTTGCGACTTCTCCGGGCGCAACCTTCGCAGCTGTCGAGTCAGGAACCAGCATGAATGTTTGGGAGAACACCCTTGGCTGACCCTCAATGGACTTGCTCGGTGTCGAAGCCGGGTTTCCCGCAGGGCCTTTGCCGTGTATTACTGTCCCAGACACGGTGATGAGTAGTGATGGCGGCTGGCTACCTGAAATATCTGTAAGCACGTTGCCTGCACGGCTGCACCCGAAGCGCGAACTGACCTGTGATGGGGTGGCAGTCGAAGGACTGCACTTCGTGCGAGGTCGTCGGCATTTTGCTGATGAGCTCGCGGACACCATCTGCACCCTGATTCGGAGTCCCGTTCCATGTCAGTGCAGAGCTGGGGCGGTAAAAGTTGGGCAGGTCGTCAACGCGGGTCGAGGAATCGTAGGTCTTGTAGTAAAGACGCGTGAAGTGGTCCGCGGCTCTGACCGCGATTTCTATGCTACAAAGTTGGTTGTGAGCAAATTAAAGATCAAGCTGGTGCAGAGCGTACTCATTCTGCGTCAGAGTGGTCATCGTTCAGCGAGGAAAGCGCGAGCTCGGTACCATGAGCGCCCATAGTCAAAGCGGCGAGCACGTGGACTCATCAGCAAAACCGCCAGCTCTTGGGGAGCGTCTTGAGCGTCTTGGATAACATGCTCAAGACGCCCAAGACCCCAAGACATCCGGTGTTAGCCAAGCTATGTCGTTTGTCTTGGGAAGACGCCTGGTCTTGGCCAAGACTCTCAAGACAGTCAACCAAGACAAGCTCAATGCGGCATGCTTATGGGTAAGACGGACATATTGGCTCAATCACACTCATATAAAACAGCTACAAATTGTATTTGTATACTTCTACTAAGACTGTGTACGTGTACTACCTGCTTAACTTGACAATGACTACAATGAAGGCAGATTGCATGTGGCTTAACACAGGTGTACGAAGTTTCAAGGCTGGCATGAGATCTTCAAGTGTCAGTGAGAGTAGCGGCCAGTGGGCGGAGTACGAATGAGAACGTACCTCATCCGACCCAACGCACGAGCTCCTCCACCTTCACGACCTTCGCATTTTGCAGGGTTCTTGGTGTTTCATATACGTG